ATGGGGCCTTAAAACAAAAAGGGTTATTCTGTGTGCAGGGTGATTGTACTGTATCCTGACAGGAAGGGCTGCAGCTTGAAGTTATTGTTAGTTAAAGAGACTGTACGGTAAAACTACAGCAAAATCACCCAGTTACAAAAACATCAAATCTAGTGATGACCAAAGTGATTACTGAAAGCTCATGATATTAACACATTCTAGGGGAGGGGGTCATGATGGGTTCACCCTGTGAATCTTATGAGTTTGACACATTTTGCGTGACAATTAACACAACAAACATTCCTTCACCCTGTGTGTCTTTTTATGGCAGAGTGGAGCTGATGGAGATCAGATGAGTTGCACCCATCAACACCCACCCTCAGTAATTGCCAGCCCACACACACACACACACACACACACACACACACACACACACACACACACACACACACACACACACACACACACACACACACATTACAGTAGCTTTAACACACTCAGACACACCTTGTGATAGCTGATGGTGATAGGTCCCCTGAATGTTTATAGAGTGTAAAGGTCCATCTCTGTTCACACACATTTATCCTGTTATAAATTCCTGCTTACAACCGCTCAGCCCCAGTCAAACAAGAAATATCAGCTAGTGATTACCTGCAGATACAGTATCAGCCTCAGTATGTTAATGTTGCAGTGACAGATAGTGACAATCACTTCAAGCATGTGACTGGTCCTAATGAAAGCCTTGTTACCACTGATTGAGGTGAATGGAATGAATGGTAGGCGTACTCCTGATACCACCCTTTGCAGAGTAAACTAAATTCCAAATAAGACACTTCCAAACTCAGTACACCTCTTCACAGACACAGAAATGCCGTTATTGTTGAACGTAATTATTGTGTTACTCAGGTTAAGAGTCCAAATGTGACTAGAAGTCTGTTTCACTACTACAACAAGAAGCTGGATGAACCAGAGGCTTCAAGAAATTACTGGTGTGGGGAGTTTTGTGACAGCTTGATTGATCTCTAACACCTTTAGTACTCTAATACATGCTGATACTGACATCTCACATGTACATTTATCTCCCGAGCACAGAGTAAGACCACACAGATGTCAATAAGACAGATCGAATCCAACCTTGTGGCAAGAATTAAGAAACATTATATAGAAAGAGCCAATCTTCTTGCTGATCGTCTTGTTTGTTTAGGTAGGTCATATAGAGGCATCAGTATTAAACTGAGAAAAACTCCTTGTAGTACATTTGACAAAAAGAGATTAAATGATTGGCATTGGCTGACATGGGAACAATAATAAAAACAAACTGGATCAGGAAAGAGATTCTGCTGGTAGCTAAGGTACTTTAGAGAAAACATACAATGAGGGAACCTGCAAAAGAGAGGTGTAACATCCTACCAAATGTTTAAATCAAATGCAAATAATAGGCTTAAACTGTGGTACTCTGAATTATCCTATATTGTCTTTAACCTACTCATGACTGATGAACAACCAGTCTCAAACAATGTGTGTGCTCACCTCTATGTCTGTAGTTAGGAATTAGTTCAAGATCTTCTCTTAATCAACTCCACAGACCAGTGGAGCTCTCTTAAAGTTTTCTGTTTGTGAGTAGGAGTAAAAAAATGAGGAGTTTTTGCTTTTGTCTATATGTAACGTTCAGAAAACTTGTTAATAATGACACCAGTGGCTGTTAAGTGAACTGCAGTCAGCGTTCCATTGCATGCGCTCGCAGTCCGTAAGAGAGAGTGAGCACCATTCTGGGCGTCAGTCAAAAGTAATACATTAGACTGAATGCTGGAAAATAAAATACAACCATATTTAAACTTATTATATCAGAATAATAAAAAAAAGATTTCTGATTAAGCTGCTTTTACTTAAAATTTTAGGTGGCACTAACCGGTTTTCGATGTACAAAGAAATGTTCACTTAATATAACTGGCTAAATGATATGCTTGCCATTCACGAATTACCCCATCAGCCAACACCACGAAGCAACCAATGACAGACCCAGACCACGCAGCCAGCCAACCCCAGTTTAGCTCGGGCTACAGTTAGCTAGTTGTATACCCCTTCTTTGCATCGCTCTTGGCTAGCAGAAAGCAATTGTTTGCTTTGTACTGTTACATAATTTGTTGTTGGCAAGGAAGCTAAGGTTTGCCAGCCAGCCACACTGAATATTATCCATTGACAAAGTAATCTGCAAACGGCAAACCAGTCAATTTACCAATTAGTTTCCCAACATAGAAATGCATCCAGTCCACGGGCAACCAGGGAAGTCGTTACAACCCATTCACTCATTGGCAATAAAAGTGATTGATACATAAATATAATAGGTCAAATGTTTCAGAATCGTAGCAGCAGCAGCAGTTTAATATGGGCCAAGATTAAAAGTGGCTGATACGACAAAAAGCACAACAGAACTTTATTAGATTGTCAACACTCGTTTAGCTTGAGTCAGAATAATGAGAGTCATGCGATCAACCAAAACCTGTTTCATGGTGGAATTACTGAAATTCAATTAACTTCCAAGCGCTCTGAAAAAGATCTGTTCTTGTTCATACAGTTTTTAATCAACATCCCACATGATTCAAAACCTGCTGATAATATATGATCACTGTGATTTCACTGCAGTCATGTGAATTTCACAAAGTAAAGCAGAAATTCCCCTTTGGCACTGTTTATAGCGGAGTTTTCTTATGTGGCGAAAGCTCAAACTCAGATCCTCAACATCATATTGATATTGCCACATGTTCTTTTTTAGGATGGTTGAGTCAGTCCCTCTGTGCCTTGCATTCGCAAAAGCCCCACTGGCATCCATTTTGGCTGAAAGAAGATCAGAGTCTATGTTATTTCCGCACGTTTCCATGATGATAATGAGGCTAAGAGCCACTGGCGGGAAAGAAGAAGGTTAGAGAAGATGGAGGAGAGAGGGTACGGTGGAAAGGGTTGGATCGGTATTGCCAAGACTCATGACTCATCGTGGTGAGGGAACAGGGGAAGAAATGAATGAGGGAGGAGAGGAATGCAGGGCCGGTATTGGTGGAAGGATGGTTGAAGGTTGAGCCACCGTAGTTTCATCCTGCATGTTGGCCATGGTGAGAAACATGGTAATGGCATAGGCAGGAATGATAGGGGCAATAGTTGCCCTGTTATCAACAATGTTTACACAGTGAGTAATTCTCTCAGGAATGAGCATCAGCTATGAATTATGTAGAGTTGTTCATAGAGAATAATAATTCATCACAACTCATGTCAGGTAGAAGTATATAAGCACAACATTGACCATAAACATAAATAAACTCTGACACTTGGGTTCATTGTTTTGAAAAAAGCCTGAGGCTAAATGGCGTTAACCTAACGCACCTCTTGTTCCACAGTAATTAAAGCCAGCTGGTCAGTGCTGTTCACCTGGTTTGCAGAGACAAGCATACAGAACAGCACATGTTGTATTTGTTATACTCAGAACAAGACTAGGGATGGCATACAGGTTGCCTACAGCAGCCAAGGAATTTTGAGCCCTAAAGCATCCAAAACTGTTAACACTCCTCTCAAAATATCTTATTATAGGATACTGCTTTGGTACTGTTTATACCCATTTTTAAAAATGCTTGAACATTGAAATATATGGATGTTAGCTGGTGGACCTCCCAATCTTGTTTTTAAGAGAACTAGAAGAACTTGTTTCGAGTGATCCTTACGGCCGAGTTTGATGGTGTGATGTGCCTGAATTGGACCAAAAAAGGTGCCAGTATCCTAATTCAGCAAAACCTAACCCTAAACACAACATAACCCTAAACCTAATTCTTTTGGTGTTTTTGGTGGTGGGAACGGCCATGCTCATGAGAGGTAAGAAAGTAAGGGTACTAATGTGGACAAAAATCTGAAGTGCCAGTACCAGTGAGTTTCAGTCCGTGGAATGATGCTGTATGGTGTATGACATCCAGATGCTTCTCCATGCAGCATTTATGAGCACTCGAAAGCTCTGGTTTAAAGTGATAGCTTAACATTTTTGTGAAAAATAAAGATGAGAAGAAGTATGACAGCCAGCTATCAGTCAGCTTAACTTAGCATAAAGCCTACCAACCCTTCTAAAGCTTGCTAATCAACATCTCCCATTATGCAGTTTTTGCTAATTTTGTATATGATCATTTGTGGGTTTTATGCTGTGTTTTGTGGTATGTGTATTTCATTGTGTATGTATGTATGTAATTGTTTTTGTCCTGAACTGAATGATGGACTAAATTAAGTCTACATGGATCTAGTAAAAATAATTTCAACTCTTCTGTCCAAAGAGGGCACGTTTATAAACTCAAACTAATAGAAAGAATGGTGAATGGAAAGAAAGTGGTGACAGAATAGATGTCATTGCCAAATGTTCTATAATTAATTAAACACCAATGCATCACACTCTACATTCCACATCCAGTGTCGCATGATAATCAACAGAACCTCCCTCCTTTCACTTACACACAGACACAGACACAGACACACACACACACACACACACACACACACGCACACACACACACTTACACAGACCTTACCCAGGAATTACAAACACACCTTAATTTACAAAAGTCCAGAATTAATGTGTAACAACTACTGAACCTCTTATCAACCACCGACCAACCAACACACACTGCTGTTTTTCCTGATACATAGCTTCTGCTGCATGTAACTGATTATTTTTTAAATTTGACCAGACCTCCCAATTTTACAAGCTGTGGTTTGTTTGAACACTTTTACCCGGAGAGACACACACAGCGTAGAGATTCAAGCAAATAAATATAACTACTCAACAATCCTCTCTAAAGACCACGTTTTCTCTAACAACACAGAGAAGCCTGTAGAAAGACCAGGTAATGGTTTTGAGTGACTGCACTATGTGTCATAGAAGTGTAATGTTACAGCCCTGCCTCCCTCTCTCACCCAGACCTTCAGCCAATGGCAGCTCACCCGAGTCCCCTCCCACAGCAACAGGCTTTAAAACTCCTCAGTGGCTTCTTCTCTTTTCTATCCACTCTGGTCTCTCCCCTCTGCTGGCCTGCCTGCCTGCCTGCCTTGCCAACCGAGCCATTCGGTCTGACCTTCCCAGACTTATTTCATCCAAAAGAAGAAAAAAACTACTTCAGATTTCAGAATGTCGGCTTATAATAAGTCCAGCAGTTACACTGTGAGGAGTTCTTCTGGCCCACGGAGCTTCAGCAGTAATTCCTATGCTGGACCAAGTGTCTCTTCCCGGAGGAGCTACAGTGTCAAGAGTTCCTTCGGAGGTGGCAACAGGGGCTTTGGAGGAGGTGCTGGCATCTCCAGCACCTCTGCCTATGGCCTGGGCTCAAGCATGAGTAGCGCAGGCATGGGCATGGGTGGAGGCTACGGCGGTGGCATGGGTGGAGGCTACGGTGGTGGCATGGTTGCTCAGGCCCCCATCACCGCCGTGACTGTGAACAGGAGCCTGCTGGCCCCCCTGAACCTCGAGATTGACCCCGCCATTCAAGTTGTCCGCACCCAGGAGAAGGAACAGATCAAGACTCTCAACAACCGATTTGCTTCCTTCATTGACAAGGTAAGAGCTTGTAACAGAGGGCAGATACATGTGTGTGTGGGTTAAATGTTCAGGTTGCCCAAGTCTTTGCTTTAAACTTCCCATTCAAACAGATGCTTGAGGTGGGTGGAGATCTCAGACCCAGTGGAGTCAAAAAGCTGAACATTTCTCTGACATTGTTATGCAATATTTGATAGAGAGGCCCATATGTTTGCCACATGTCATGGAACGCTGATATCTGCTTTCTTTGCTGCGTGGAGAAAGTTATTTTATTCCCCTCTCAGCTTTCGTCACCTCCCACAAATGAAAAAAATGAATATGCTGCGGCTCAAACTCAGAGTTACGCACTCTATCTTTTGGCTAAGGCTGCCCTTTTATAGTGATGAAAAACAGACTTGCAGAAAGGAGAGTGAGAAAGACAAAGACAGAGAGAGAGAGAGAAAGGAAAGGGTGTGTCAGGGCTTGTGATATGAGTTACCTTGGGAATGGTCCCTCCCTTAGTTGGGGTGTGGCTCTTTCTACTGCCCTGGTGGCCCCCACCCCTCCAAACACACACACACACACACACACACACAGTCAGCACTGACTGTCCTATTGTTACCTTAATGACAGTACCACCTTTCACGGTGTCTTTGAAAAGAAGTGTCCACTGGGAGTATGAATAGATTGACTTTTAATCATTGCGATCAGCATTTAAGTCCAGCATTTATGTAATACTCGGGTGTGTGTGTGTGTGTTCTCCGAGGCCTCAGCAGTGGGTTAATATTTAAAAAGGCCAGTTGGTTTCATGTTCAGGCCAAAGCCAGCTGACTGGCTGCATATCAACTCTCCTTCTCCCAGCGCAATGATTAAAAGAAGATAAAGTGAATTTGCATGCTTCAACACAAACCAGATGAACTTCCACACTATCATCTGTTATCTTATGGTGGAGGTCCATTTTGGGGCACTTTGTTATCTGTATTTACTCCAGTTTAAATGAAGACCATAAGAGGTTCTTGGTTAGAGCTCACCTGTAGAGTGCAAAGTCTTAGGGAGCAAGGTCCATGGAGTCGCATATCTGCTTTCACTATACTTTGCTTTTATTGTTCACAAGTATGCAAACTCTCCACCTTTTTGCCTTCCACCTCCACCTCTCCCCCCCTCTCTTCGGCTAATAATTCATCCTCATTTCCTCTCCCCACCACTCCCTGACTTTCTACTCCCTTCTCCTCCCTCAACACATCTATAACGCAGTTAAATATTTACCTTTCTGCATTTGCCTGGGGATGCAACTTGGCATTCTCTCGATGTATTTGTTCTCTTTGGCTGCGAACTGCCCTGTACAAAAACAGGAAGACATGCTGGAGAAGGGTTAACTAGCTCTATTCCTCCATCACTGGCTTTTTCCGACCTCGTCTCCCTCCCTTCCACCTCCTGTCAGGATACACGTACGTCAGGCCTTCCTTTGGAAAAGCATGGCTGGTCTGGAAAGCTGCCACAGCCAACAGCAGCTTACAAAGCTCCAAAGATAGATAAGAACAACAAAGACTGTAGACTGTATGTGAACAGGAGGCAAAGCGAGGTTGATCCTGATGATTGATTATTAGGATGTTAACCCAGAGGTGATGTTACGTCAGGGCAGAGCAAGCAGCAGTTACATCATACTTTTTAAAGGGAATATCATAAAAAGGATGTCTTCACATTTTTGTCGTAGTAAACCAGCATGTAAGTCACTGATTATTCGTAAAGGGTTTTTGTTGATTCATTCCTAATGACCCTAACAAATAACCCTAATTTTCTTCTTATTTCTGCTTCTTTCACACCAGGTCCGCTTCCTGGAGCAGCAGAACAAAATGCTGGAGACCAAGTGGAACCTGCTGCAGGGACAGACCACCACCCGCTCCAACATCGACGCCATGTTTGAGGCCTACATCTCCAACCTGCGCAGACAGCTCGACAGCCTGGGCAACGACAAGATGAAGCTGGAGGCTGACCTGCACAACATGCAGGGCCTGGTGGAGGACTTCAAGAATAAGTGAGTGTGGAAGGGGCAAAGGATGGGGGGGGGGATGCAGGGTCAGCTTTTTCTTACATCAGTGTCACTGTACAACAGTTCAGGAGTTGTGCCTTGCAGTACCATGAGTTAATCTTTTTGTGGACTACTCCCAACATCTGTCCTTTGTCTTGCGTCATACAAATTCTAGGGAATTACAACACTGAGGAAGCATGTCACATTACATTACATATGAGTGGAGGTAAAAAACATTTTACACAGTTGGCTGTCAGAAAAGCTGCCTCTAGCTTTACACAAGTGGACACAAGCATGCGCATGCTGACATGCACATGTCTCCAACACAAACAGGTACAATGGTGCCGCACATATTTGTCAGTTGTCCACAGACAAATGGATCATATCTGCTGAGGTCAGGGGAGTCCTGAGGGAGGAAGATCAGTAACACCTCTCACACTTGGCGCTGAGTCAACAGAAACTGTGTGAGGCAAATATCCCAAATGAGTTCAAGAGTTAGAGATGGACTACCTGCGCCTCCTAGTGTTACATTACTATATAAACTCTCTGAACAGCCACATGAGACAAGACTCTAACCATGAACTGTATTTTGTTCCTCTCAGGTATGAAGATGAGATCAACAAGCGCACAGAGTGTGAGAATGACTTCGTCCTCATCAAGAAGGTCAGCATCATCATTTGTCTTTTTATACCCTGTCTGCACTTTCTTTTAGCACTTAAATAATAAATAATATATTTTAAATCGTGTTTTTCCTGTAGATAATGTCACTTCTGTGTAATGTCTCATTCTAACATGCATTGTTTTTGGTTCCAGGATGTCGATGAGGCCTACATGAACAAGGTTGAGCTGGAGGCCAAGCTGGAAAGTTTGACAGATGAGATCAACTTCCTCAGGTCGATCTATGAGGAGGTATGGCACATAATCAGCTCAGTGGCGTTGTTTGTTTCTCTACTTTCCCTCTTGGCTTTAAAACTGCCAACCTTCAAACCACTTGATGCATTCATCAGCATTATTTGTGATTTATTGATCCAGTCATAACATGCCTATGATGTTTGTGGTGTCAGTTTCCCACAACTTCTCAGCATCTGGTGAACATCTTGACTTGCCTCTTGTACCGCTGGAGGGGTTTCCTCAGTGAGGCGACTAATCACTATTATCTCTATCTTTCTTTTTTATTGTACTTTAGGAACTGCGTGAGCTCCAGAGCCAGATCAAGGACACCTCAGTCATTGTGGAGATGGACAACAGCCGCAACCTGGACATGGACTCCATTGTGGCTGAAGTCAAGGCTCAGTATGAGGACATCGCCAACCGCAGCCGCGCAGAGGCAGAGACATGGTACAAGACCAAGGTAATGGTTCCTATCCTTCCATTATAATAGTGTGTATTGAAAACCCTTCTTGCCATTGCTATAGACAGATTAATATTTAAATCATGAGTCAGTAAAGTACCAGCCACTCAGAATTGCCACCTAAGCCGAGATATATCCATTCAGATAAGTAGGGACCGACCATTGACCATCATCTGTACATACAGTAATCTCATAAATAGGGCTTCCAGTTAGTAATATTGTTTTGCTGATGTTTTTTTAGTATGAGGAGATCCAGACATCCGCCAGCAGATATGGAGATGACCTGAGGGCTACCAAGACAGAGATTGCAGACCTGAACCGCATGATCCAGAGACTGACATCAGAGATTGATGCCGTCAAGGGACAGGTATGGAAAAAATAGTTTTGACAACATGGTCCGCCATTTGGAGCCATCATTTATTATGTTGTTTAACAATCATGAGAGTGGAGACCTTATTTTTAAAAATCTTCTCCCAGCGTGGCAACCTGGAGGCCCAGATCGCTGAGGCTGAGGAGCGTGGTGAGATGGCAGTGAAGGATGCCAAGTCCCGCATTAGGGACCTGGAAGACGCCCTGCAGAGAGCCAAGCAGGATATGGCCCGCCAGATCAGAGAATACCAGGACCTGATGAACGTCAAGCTGGCTCTGGACATTGAGATCGCCACTTACAGGAAACTGCTGGAGGGAGAGGAGGACAGGCTGGCAAATGGCATCAAGGCTATCAACATCTCCCAACAGAGCAGTAAGTCATCTTCTTCAACCTCGCCTTAATTGTCGTTGTATTGACTAAAGCCATAGTAAACAGTCTTCTCTGATTGGTTCTTCCGTTTTAACAGATTCCACACTCTTCCAGTTTTAACTATTGTCTCTGACCTCCCTTCTCTCAACAGCAAGCTACAGCGGTTTTCCCATGGACAGCATGAAGAGCAGCTACTCAAGTGGCTACTCCAGCGGTTTCAGCAGCGGATATGGTGGCGGCAGTGCATATGGCAGCGGCAGCGGATATGGCAGCGGCAGCGGATATGGCGGCGGATTCGGCAGCAGCTCGGGCGGCTTCAGCAGCGGCAGCGGCTACAGCACCAGCACCCAGAGCAAGAAGAACGTCGTTATCAAGATGATTGAGACCAAGGATGGCAGGGTGGTGTCTGAGTCCTCCGAGGTCATTGAGGATTGAGCTGTCTAGTTTAGAGGTGTAGCTACCTGTCTGCTATCTCCTCTCTGGTAGTTTTATACTCACAGTTCACCCCCAGCACCCCTCAACTATTGTAATAAACAAGTCTGAAGTAAAACGCTTGCCATCCACTCTCCAGTTGAGCCTAATTGTTTTTCATGAAGCAATAAATGATCCTAACATTACCAAAGATCTGAAAGGGACCAAAGAATTTATTTTGTATGTCTGATGTCTGACTGTCTGTACTAAAAAAGTAGTTTTGTCTCAGAAAGAGAGCTAAAAACTGGGCGAATTGCAACTTCGAAAAAAAGTACTCATACATACACTCCCTTGAAATAAACACAACAGCTATTCCATACACGGAAGGCTGTTTCATTCAAAACGGTGTTGCATCAAATGGACTGTGGTGTGAAGGAATGTGAATGTAATGAAACAGTGCTTCAGCATTGATGGTCAACTAATGTCTTAAAATTGCCTGCTACAGTAGGTAGTGCATGTCTTCCCTGTGCGTGTCCTGTAACTGAAACTGTTCGACCCCTTAGGAGGCTGCCCACGTCAAACTGTTGTCCTGAGGTGCTGTTTTTGCTACCAATAAAAATGTGTTTACTGAAAAGAAAATTACGTGTTTATTTTTTTGATGATGACTCAAAAAGAAAGAGAGTAAATTAACTTGAAGTCCAATAAACCTCACAGTGCTTAAGTAGTTTTGAATCTGTAAATACGGATAGTTCTTGATCAGTCCTTCAAGTCACAAGGATAACAATACTATTACTATGTTTAAATATATATACAGTAGGTAAATATATAATATATATTAACAGTAAAGTGAAATATCACCTGTTTTGTTTTATTTTCACATCAAAGTCCCACCATGTTGGTTGAAGGAGTGGAGATGTTCGATGACTGAACTAGGCTCTGTCATATCTTGTTTATTTTGTGACATTCAACTTAATAACATTTCACTGGTCATGTTTGGATAGTGGCTTTTAAATCTCCAAGTACTGAAAAAAGTATTAAAAGTACAGGACATCTAAAATAGTGAGTAAATTGGTCTTTGGGTTCTTACATTAGCATTAAAGTGTTTCTCCACACAGAGAAATAAGTCCAGATAGAGAACACTGCTTTAGGCCCTGGGTGTTGCCTTTGATGTTTTACTGACAGGTCATTAGCCCGATTAGCAAGATTAAGTGCAGACGGGTTGACCTCTGTATGGTTTAACAACATATCAATAATAAAAATAATAACAACTTTATGTAGTACCTTTTAAAAGTTTACAAAGTGCTTTGACAGACAAAGCAAGAACAGGAGACTCCGAAGGCAATAAAACAACAGGGTAACAACCTTTCTCACCTGACATTTCCACTTTTAATAGCAGCAGTGCAACTATTAACATGAGTTATCTGTAAGCTCTGTTCCATTTAGGAGTCCCTGTAGGCCATATAGCCATAATCAGTGTTAATAATTACACCTGTGACATGACATGTTAACATTTCTGTATGACAAATGTAATTTACAGAAGAAGCTGTGTATTTGATTATCCTACATAGTTTTATATAGAATTATTCCATTTACAAATAATATTCAGTATTTGGAGACAATGCGAAGCCAGAACTGGACAACAAACGAGGCTGGTTAAGAAGAGGACACGGCCATATTGGAATTTTGCAAAGTAGCAGGAGGTGAGTTTGTCCAAACGTATTGTAAAATGGCAGCAATGTAGATATACAGAAATGTTAGATAATATTAAAAAATGGAACTACTTCCTTTCGGCCACTTGGAAGCAGCTGAATATCACCTTGTAATGTAACTTAATGTGTCGGATGTGTCGGTCGCGAATGAGCCGGTTGAAAGAGCCGGCTCTTTTAAATGATAACGATATTATTTGTATTGAATTTTTTTGTGAAGTAATTCGAGACAGAATGATCTGATGGTCTCCGCGCTACAGGGCAGAATACAAATAATAACAAAACGTTACACTTAGATAGTTGATGGCGGTTAGGTCATAGAGACATGCTTCAACACAATATAGACAGTTTTGCACAGTGCGCTATATTTATTTTTTATTATGTTTATTTGTTTATGATTATTTTTACTCTATAGAGGTAATTTGGGTTTTATTTGTCCAGATGTCAGTTGTTGGCATTAACAAAACATATTTACTCCTGTATTTAATTGACTTTTTATCCCAGTACTTTACTTGTTTTGTTCGGGGTGTGTGTGTGTGTCCTCTTTTTATTTTTTATTTCTATGCTTAAGTGTTTACAGCTGTTTCTATCTGCTTTGTGTAGCATAGTGGTTCTACAGCAAGTCAGTGCATTCATTGGGTGGTTTCAGAGAGTTACAAGGGTCTGTAAATGGAATGAACACAACTGGATACAGCAATTTATTGGTATTAGACAATGTCATTTTTCCTTTTGAATACTTCAGTACATAGACTGTATTGAATACATCTCTAGTAACTTAAGGGGCATGTGTTGGCAAACTAGCCTAAGTATCCAGCTACATCTTAGGTCAGCAGACATGGAGCAACATATTCCCTCTCCTTCCAGCTGTTTTGCTCTTTATTAGCAATCCAGAAAAATACCTGTCTCTTTAGCTGCTAAATGCTTATATGTTCATTAGCTAGTTGCTTTTGTCGGTTTGCCATTTGCTACAGTCAGGTTTAATCTCAAAGTAGCTAAAGAATGTGTGCAGCTGACATTTCAGACAGCCATTGACAGTATATACAACAGACTACAAAAGAAACAGAGCTGCTAAACGAGGCAGGCAGGAGGCTTAAACGGCTTTGCTTGGTTTAACTTCTTTTATGTATAGTTTAGTTAACTGTTATATACCGTAGTATTATATTGCTTATATTGCAATAGCCACATCAGACTCATGGTATGGGGCTTTGAGTAGGGCTGCACTATATGGTAAAAACATCATATTGCGATTATTTTGACACATACTGCGATTGCAATATGATTCACAATTAGTGTGGGAATGATAATTTTTGCATTACAAATTTAATCTTTACTGAAAAAACTATTGAAAACACGATGATGTGAAATCTTTGGGGGTCTCTACCAAACAAGTACGTTTTCTTACATCGGAACAAGAGTTGTAGGCCGGGCCATCTCTGCAGACCTGTTGCTTTTTATTATAATACTTTGTCACTCATTTTACCTCGATCAAAAATAAATCGCAGCTTATGAGATTTGCCTGTTGCACTTCGCCATGTTGCGATTTTGACAATATTTCAATGAATTGAGGTCTTCTGCATTAATTCTATGGTCTTTTTAAAAATGTATTTGCATCTATGTTAATTGGGATGTCCTTAACATCCTGACATCTGGATTTCTATTTCTATGGTGATTTTTAACAGTCATTTGATGTATTGTCTGAATGACTTTTCCTGTCCTTTAAATATTTTCATTTCCGCTCCATCATTCTAACTAAAAAGCCAACAAGATTCATCCTTAAACGTCTTATAGCATACAATTACTTTTATTTTAAGACAAATGGCCAAGTAATGATTTGTCTTTGGTATCTATTAGGGTACTATTCTAATTTATTGATTAAGCTATCAATCATTTCCTTGATTGATCAATTAGTTGTTTGGTCCATAAAATGTCAGAAAATTGGCCAAGGAGACGTCCTCAAATATATTCAGTTCAATGTCATAGAGCACTAAAGAAAGCAGAAAATAACCACATTTGAGAAGCTGAAGAAGACTGAAAGCATTTCATTGTTTATCAAAATAGTTGGCAATAAATTAGTTGATATCTAATCAATTCATCAATTAATTGCTGCAGCTTTTTGTGAACAACTCTATCACCCTCCAACGGCTGTGCTGGGCAGCTCCAGTGTATCTATACGAACAGCATTCAGGTTTAAGAAACACTTAGTGAACTCACACACAGGCAGGAGGCCATGGAGTAAAAAATCAAATCTCTTTTTAGCAATTGACCACCAGGGGGCAACATCTTACCTGAGTATGTTACTCTGCAGGTCAGGATGAGCCCTCTCACAGGAGGACTGAGGGTGAATGCCTGGCACACCCACTGTGTGTGTATAGTGTGAGTGTGTCTGTGTCTGGGATCCATAACTGGAGTAGGGCCTGTTACTCCAAAATGCAAAGCAACACAATAGTTGTCTATCCTGAAAAGTAAAGTTACTCAGAATAGGAGCCTTTATAGAAAACATCCCAAACAAAGTGAGCCAAACCACTGGAAAAACAGGATCTATTTTTCAATGTATTTTTAGCATGCAGCCAAGAAGAGTTGAAATGACATGCCTTTACATTATATTACATAGAAATATGTTGGCAGATTCTTCGATTTAGAAAGACCAGCATTAAATTCCCAACCCTCGATCTACTATCAATCCGACATGCTAGAGCAGTGAGACATTATGAGTACAATACATTTGTGTGTGTGCATGCCAGCGTATGTTTGCTTACTTGGCATACTCGCTCAAAACAGAGGGACTCCTGCTGTCTCTCAGTGTCCTACTGAAGCTTCCTTGAAGTCCTTATCCACAGTTGAAACAGTGTACGAATGAAAAGTAGACCTATTACTACAAATGTAATCGTGCAATATCACAGAAAAAAAAGATCACCCTTTAATGAAGAATACGCAGGAGGGTGGAGCAGTAAGACCCAGCATTTCAGCATGTAGCAACCTGAGCTGGCATCCATTTTACTCTTTCGCTCAAGGAGGCAGTATTGTGTTAGTCTCACCCTGAACATGATCCTTTTTTCATCTTGTACTAGCAACCCCTTCATAGTTTAGAGAATTGTTTGATTCACTATTAACGGCACATTTTATGTAACAGATCTTATGTCTAATTACTGTATAACTACTCACTGCTGTTTTTTAACTGACAAACCTCGCAGTGTACGTGCTACAGCTCATGAAGTGTGCATCAGGTGTAGCAGTTCCACCCAAAGTGTCATCCCTGGACGCCATTAGAGTCTGATTCATAATCACTTATGGGCACACAGAGTGGGCGAGGTATGAAAAGGGTGTTTTAAAGTGTCTGCCATCATGCACAACTCTTATAATAAGCACTAGAGGACAGTGTTAACGAAGAGGACACCCAGGTACTAAAGCCTGTTCATAACACAAAAATCTGACAAATTAATCATGTGAAGCTGAGATTTTGGAGGTGTGCATGTTGGCTCCTCTGCTAGCCTCAGTAAGCTGCGATTTCCCAGAAAGCCCCTCTCTGTGTCTTCACACAAACATGGCTATGTAACTTTGCAGAGGTTGTTTGAACCCTCACTGTGCTCAACTCCTCATGAATGCCTGGAACCAAACTTTATTACAAGCAGACCTACACCATGAACATACTACAGTACTTGCAACAATATGATGTATTATTTATCCGCTTTAGATAATCTAATTTTCAAAGGGGCAGCACAAAATAGCCATCTCCTGTTATTTCTGCAATAGTCTACAGTTGAAGTTATGAGGTTAAGCTGTTGTATATTAGACGTTAGGCTTATGGGATGTCTGGTTTTACGTTGTAGTTATTGTGTAATATAAAACTGATATAATTCTTGCATATGCTTCTTGTTCTTGTTCAGAGCTATCTTGTTGCCATGTGCCAGCCATGTAGTTGTGACCGAGCTGTTC